TTGCAAATAGCATATAAATTCCTGTTAAAGGCTCTTCTAGCTTGAGTGTGGATAGTGCACCAGGAATGTGGTGAGCTCTCCCTAAAGGGTAAGCGGTTTGTTCTCCCCAAGCCCCTAGTCTGCATTGCCCCTGATATTTAGCTGTAATAGAAGTATGCTAGTTGAGGATAGCACAGTCTGTTCACTGCCCTCCAAAGAGAGTCTTCCATTGTCAGGAAGGGGAGAAAGATTGCTAAAGCTCATGTTTAAAGCCATGGGCAGAACCTAAACCGGAGTAGGAAATGCATAGATACTCCCGACCGGAAAACAATTTAGATACACACTAGTAACCTGTATGTAAACTACTGTTGTGTGTTCTGAATAAACTTACGCAGTCCGCCTGGTCATACTGGACTAATGCAGTAGTCAGTGGAATGATTTAACGCCTTACTAATCGCCTCTCTGTCCTTTAAGGTAGCATCAGGGATGAGTTGTGGCAACTTAGGACTCCATCTCAATTGATGAGACAAGCTGAAGTCTTAACCAAAGGAAGGTTGGCCTTTGGTGAAGACCCTTGGACCAATATGCCACCTTCTGGAAAACTGGGATCTTTAAGGCTCATACATAATTAGGACCTGGGTGTAGCCCAATTGGTGTATTGAGTATTGATTAATTTCTTAGACTCCAGAGGTTGGTAAGAGTTCAGTCTCCTAAACAGCTACAGCACCTGGAAAATTATTACCAATGGTATTAGAATAAGAGACCCAAGGGGCACTGGAGAAACAACTGCAATTGATCACAAGTCCCTTTATTAACAAATCTGCTAAGCAGATAAACAATCCCGCCAACACTGAATGACCTCAGCAGACAGGGAGAGAGTACGGAGTGTTTAGCCGCGTGCCTGGCATTACTTACATCTCCCAGCTCCATGACAGCAACTGCGCCCCAACACTCCGCTGCACCAGCGAGAACCGCCTACCTGCTGTGCCCTGCAGACCCGCTATGCCAAGGGCCAGGACTTGAGGGCACCAGAGGCCCATTGCAGCCAGAAGCAAGGGCTGTCAGTGTCCCAGCAAGGGACACCCACCCTTCACATCCAGCTAAGCCTGTGGGAGGGGGGGAGCCTGTGCATTATTGTTAGTGGGCATGTTCCAGAGTGCAATGGGATGGGTCAGTTATTTGACATCCTGGAGCCAATTCCCTTTCTAGTCTTTTAATTTATCCCCATCCTTTACAAGAATCAAACATTGTTTATCCTTCTCTATTGTCTTTGATATCCTCTCACGATAAACCGGGATGTCCTAGAAATCACAGTGGTTGTCTGTCACAGGTGAAGGCACTGTGCACAAAGAACCTCGGACCCACTGTTCTTATGGTGAGCCACTGAAGCCCCGAGGAGGGAGGAATAAGGGTGCCACCATCCTGGGGGCTTAGGGCTTCCCCAGCAGGGGCCTAGATAATGAAAAGCATTATAGGAAGAGTGGGTAGCGATGCCTGTGGTGAAGGTTGCTGGACACTGCCCATTATAATAGCCTGTTTTCAGTGCTTTTAGATTTTATCCACTTGGCTGAAATTTTCCATGCAGCAAAAGCTACACCAGTATGTTTGAAGTAGGGTAACCCCAAGCCTGAGCTTTCAGAGCTGCTAAGCGCCTGCAACTCCCATTCAGGGCTATGGATGCTCAGTGCTCCTGGAATCCCCCATGTCTATAAGCCAGGAAGCACTAGGGGAGGGGAAATTCAGTATAGCTCATAGCAGTGTATAGGAGGGAGGAAATACTAGAGTAACAGTTCAGGATAGAATTTCAAGGAGCGGGAGCCTGTGACGGATCCGTACGGGAACATCATAATAGTTTCATTACTACAGAACTTATAAAGAAAAAACCACCCTATGGAATTCACTGGCTAAGCCAGCCTTCCTATAAACATTGAACCAGCCTATGGCATTATACGCCTGCAGTGGCATTTAGCTAAGGATTTGAAAGACACTTGCCCATTGAAGTAGAGTCGTCTGAGGAATGTTAGCTGCTCCATCTGTGGATTAGAGCCAAGCTCCTAGAATTCTATTTCTTGGTCAGCAGAGGCTGAGAGAGACGAGAGTGAACCGCCCTCTTTCCAAGTGCTACCATTTCATCATCATGGACTTGCCAACCTGCCACCTCTCCCCCACCTCCCTCCAGGCAGATGTTGCTTTGCTCATGCTGAGAACAATGAATGGCCATTCGGAAAGTGGGCCTTTCTTCATGACAAACTTTCAGTTATGGAAAATAATGGCAACTTATCATTAAATACCTTTTCAAAAGCTTCTCATTGCACCAAAGCTCCTCAAGTGGTTATACAGGCAGGAGCGGGGTATTCGGGTGTAAGTATGTATAGCTAGAGGTGCAGGAGGGAGAGGGATTTGGGTTGTACGCACACACAGGTGTATGGCAAGAAGGAAGAGGCAGGAGTATTTTAAGGTATGGAAGTGCATAGTTAGGACAACCACTCAACTTTAATTTTGCCCTGTTAGACTCTTCTAACGTCCCATGGAGTTAACTCACTGAACTCTTGGGCGTGAGCTACACTTGAGTATTTTGAGTGTCAGTTCCCCCCTATTCTTAACTTAAATTCTCCTTCAGCAGAAACCATGGCAAATACCTACCTTGATTAAGGTAGTGTAGTGCTTGGGGCCCCTGATTGGATAATTTCTTTTGAAAGCTAAAAGTTTCCCCCTCCGCAAGGTCTCACTTCAGGATGCAGAATTAAGGGGTCTTAACTCTGCATTTCTATGTATTAACATTGTTGGATGTCATTTAAGTTTAACGGTAACTGTCTTTTCTGGTTTTGATGATCTGTATGGGAACACGTACAACATCCCTATAGCGTATTCTCCTCTGAATTTCTGAGCTCTACAGCGATGAAATGCTTACACGATATTATAATGTTCAGCCACTAGGTGGTCTCATGCGTAACATACCTTTCCTGAGCTGGGAACAGCCAGACCTGGCAGTGCATTGTATAGTTAAGAGAACACATCTCTGGTATCTCTCTCCACGGTGAAAGTGCTATAGCCAGTCCATATCTTGTACAGGCATCTGACCCGCTAGTAGCAGCCCTGCAACTTACTGTGTACAAGGAGTACATGACCGCTGCTCTCAACCGTCTTAACTCCATCTTAGTGGTTGTTACCTAGGCCTATCAATGAGGTAGCGGTACAAAACACATATCGGTGGTGATGGTGGTGGTGGGGGGATTGCTGATGGCAGACACACAATCCTGACACTCAAATGTGGAGGTGGACCAATCGCCTTTGAATCCACAATGCCAAATGCTTCCTCCATCTCACTGTACAGCTGATTTCATATTGCAATTCAAGTATGCATGCTTTGTTATACTGGTGAGGAATTTTATATCATCACAGAGAATATGTTCATAACAGAGGCTTGTTCCTTCATTGTAAAATAGCCTAGCTCTTTTCACTGCAGTGATCTTTCCCTCTCGGAGTACTTTAAAAAAACACAATACAAAGTGCTCCAATTATGAGGGACCAGATTAAACTCACAAAGCGCTTTCAGTTATAAAATAGTCATTAGCATGTGCACAGAGGTCTCACCTAGAACTGTGCAAAGTAGCAGATTTTTCAGTTTGGGGGCCACAATCTTTCAGATCAAGGTCAAACTACACTTTGTTTTGTTGGAGTTTTTACCTTTTGAAATAAAACTGAAGCAAAATTCAGAACAAAATTGTTTTGAATCCAAATCAAAATGTTTTGTTTTGAAACATGTTCCATTTGTTTGGGGTTTTTTGTTTTCTTTTCTGACCAAAACAATCTGGCAAATTTGACACGAACTCATGCGATGTTTTGTTCGACCCAAATACCCATTTTTGGTGAAAAAATTTAATCTGACAAATATTGCCCATCTCTACTGAACTCAATATTCATTACTCCTTTGTTTTGTGTGAGGCTATAATCTGCTGTAAAATAGTGCAAAATACACCATTCCCAAGTGTAGATTTTCTAGTTAAAACGTGTCCATTACCAGCCATCTGTCACATACAAAAGCATGTAATGCCCAAATCCGATAAACTTATAAAAGCCTCCAATGGGATCCTCTCTAACAAACATTTTGCTGGCCATGAGGGTAGCCATGGCCCAGGATTTCTGTCACAAGGCCTCGGTTAGTTTAAAGACAAGGCACACTGGGGGTTGTAGTCAGCAGCAGGAACATGTGACTGGGAGGAAGCAAGGCCTGCTGGGAAGAGGGAAGTAGGATTTAAAAGTGCAGTGTAAAGGAAGGTGAGGTGAGAACAGCCGCTGTCTGGGGATACTCTCCAGAGACCCAGCTCTGAGCTGGCGCTATGGGGCTCCCTGCTGCGAGGGGCCGAGACGGGGCCTGAGAAGACCAGTGGGGGTAAACATCCAGCGAGGGAAGGTGGCTTGAACCTTCTGAAAAGAAGGGAGAATGAAAGAGGCCAGCGTCTGTGCTGGTGAGGCCCTGCCGGGCGGGGGGAAGGTATCCGCAGACTCCCTGAGGCGGAAGGACTTTGCTCACGCAGGCGGGGGCCCAAGAGTGAGCAAATGGCTGCCTGGAAGCTGCTGCACAAAGGGGTGAGGAACGTTGTACTCCCTGCTATAGCGGGACAACAGACTGCACTGAAGTCCCAGCATCCTCCGGGGGAAGGGACTGTACTAATCCGGGGAGCCGGAGAGAAGAACTCCAGCCGCAGGAGGGCAGAAGAGGCTGTTCTCTTCACTCGTTGGACCCAGCAGCAGCCAGTATCCCACATCCAACCAGGACTGCAGATCCGGTGAGGAAATTCAGTCCCAGCCTCCCCTCCCCTCACAGGAGAACACTGTCCTCTAGGCCCAGGGGCGTGAGTTGTTGGCTCTGACTCCATACATCGACACCAGGCTCCTGTTACCCCAGTATTCGGGCGGACCAGCTCTATTGAAACCACTTGAGTTCCACCAGCGTATAAGAGGCCAGGCCAAGGCACAGTTATTTCTTCTTCACTTTTAAACACTGTTTGGGACAACACTTGTCTTCAAGCTCCAAAGGGTTCGCAGCGAGAACAGGAGTGCAGTGTTGTAGGCTAGCCCGCTAATTCCCTTACTAGTGAGGCTGGGGTTTCATCAGAGGGTTGTCATTTGCAGCAGCATAACCCCACTCTGCTACGCGCTGGAGACAGATGCAGATTTCTCTTCTGGCGGTTGGACGGTTTTGCACTCATGCGAGAGCTTCAATGTACTGCACAGGAATGGAGAAGCGGCCTGGCTTGCTCCAGTAGTCGACGGCACGCACTCTGTAAAAGCCCGAGACCGTGGTTCCTGCCAACAAAAAAGTTAAAGCGCGGTCACTGCAAAAGACCAACATCTGCTGTGTGGGACCATCCCTATTCCTGTGAGAGACGCATTGGTGGGATGGAGTGGGGATGGGACTGGGGGCTGGCTTCTAACAGGAGTTCTACATACTTGGTAAGTAAGGCCCATTTGTTCCCAGCCCATGTACCTGGCCAGGTCTACGGCCAGCTGTAACTGATAATCCTGAGGAAGTTAAGCATAGTACTCTCCCGAGTGGCTCCAAATATCTCCCCTATCCTAAGGCAGGATCCGATTTTACATGGGATGAAGTGAATAGCTGTGGATTGTCTTTAAAAAACACGAGAAAAAGGTAAATGCAAAAAGCTGGCAGTGATAAGCCAGGTAAGGCATAAGCCAACATTCCAGCAACATAAAAGGTAGCTAGGCTGCTCAGAGGGGAATTATTTCTGTCAAAATGCAGAGTTTACTGGATTAAGCTACACATCCTGTGGGTAACATTATATGCAACAGTTCATACTGCCCTTGGGGTCTTCACTAAGGCACTACCTTTCTTTGTGCTTATCTGTGCAACTTGAACTTGCACGAACACAGCCTTTTGAATTTGAAAAAGCACCTGATTTTAGTGTGTCATACTCAGGGGCGTGCCGTGACATTTTCAGCAAGGCATGCAATTCTACACTGGCATGCAAAGTGTGACCACTTGCATGGGTGTTCCGGGGGCCAGAGAAAATCGTCCCACAAGCACAGCTAGTCCTGTGGCACGCAGTGCATGCGTAGCATACACGGATGGCATGCCACTGGTTGTACTAGATGACGTTGTGCTGTTTCCAGTTGATGGCTCTGTATCTCATTAGAGCACGTCACTCAGAAGCCAAGTTCTCCTCTATTCCATACAAACCTGATCAGTTTTTATTAATGTAACTAAAAACATGCATTTGAGTCAAGAAACTTGGTCTGGAGCGCTCTGTATTATAGATACTCATCCCGCATTGTTTTCAGCTTCTTTCTCTGAGCCAGTCGCTGTAGCACTTATCCCTTACTTTGGCCAAATACTTGCTGACTTCAACAGCCGTGTTCCCTGATTCGCAGGGAGCAGCCCTGATGTTGTTAGGGCTGTCTACGGTCTCACGTTTAGCCATGGGAAGGCTGAGGCTATGTTGTGTTCAGCCCTCTGCCAGTCACTGGCAGCACACGTAGAACTGAGCCCACACCCAGTTTTCCAGCGGGTTGTTCAGACCCCTGGGGAGGGAAAAGCCTCAGCTAGATGTTTGGTGGAAGTGCAGAATCATGGAAGTAAGACACTTTTGTGAAAAAAATCACGGTGGGATTGCACCACCTGACTGTCCAGGGTCAGAATCTGTCGCCTGTGCTGCTCCGGTCATGCCACCTGTGTGGCACAAAGGGAGGATGTTTGGCTGGGAGGACACCCCCAGCGTAAGTGGGTTGATAGCAGGTATAGAGCTGGCGTGGCTGGCTCCCATGCCCAGGGAGGGGCAGTGTGCTCTGGCTATCCCTCCAGGAGCCTTTGCCAGCTGGTGCAAATAAACAGCAGCTCTCAAGATGTTCTAACTTCAACCACAGCAGAAAATCAGGGACCCTGCTCCTGCAAGACCTCTTCCCCTTGCCCACGCTGTGGTTCACCTTGTGACCCTAAGAATCCCTCTCAGTGCCAACTGGCAAAGGGTCCACTAGTCTGTAACAGCCACTCCTCTCAGGCCTGACAAACTCACTACACCTGACACACTGCTTTCATAGTACTTACCCCAAAAGGCTTGTGTGAGGTGTCTAATGGAAGCTTACGTCACACTGAGCCTCATAGGCATTGGGTGGTGTACATACGGGTGACATTTAAGAAGTTGTGTGTATGTACTGAAAATAGGTGGATTTAGACTGTCTCCCAGGCACGCTTGGTAAGTTGGTTTTGCCAGACAAAAGGAAGGTGAAGTCACCCGCCCTCCGTTCAAATGTTAATCAAGCATTGCAAAGCCAACACAAAGGACGTCCCATTTACACCTGCGAGGCAACAGGAAAAACAGGTGGACGGGGGATGGGAAAGAAAGAGTAGCTGGCACCCCTGGAAGGAAACCACAGGGCAGTCACCCTGAGCCTGGGGGCAGAAACAATGGACTTTGGGGTGTAAGAGGAAAGCACAAGGACCCCTCTTTTATCCTGCACTTGGGGGGTGACCGGGCAGTGCAGTTACACCACAAAAACAGGATCTCAGCCAACCTTGGTTGAAACGCTGCAAGACAGGGCTGAGGTGAGAAATCACTTTAGACAAGGTTAGCCTCCTGTTAACGTTAAGTCTGAGTCTAGTGCAAGCGGGTGATGTTTCTGTGTTATTTGCAACCTGTTGTTGTGGTTACCCGTGGTCACAATCTCATTTCCCTTGGTTAAGAAACAGATTTGTTTTCTCTATCAATAGATTACGGTGCTGTGTTGTTATGCTGCGGCTCATACTCAGCTGAATCAAACAAGTGTTTACTATTCCCTTGGGTGTAACGAACCTGGTCATGGCTGTGAGTGTCCAGCAACACGGGTTGCACGTTACAGGGGATGCTTTCAGAGTGGCTTGGGGGCCTATTAAGGAGGGGCTGGCAGAGCCCTGAGGAGAGTGCTTGAGTGGCTGGAGGGGTCCCGGAGCTGACATCCAGCTTCCACAAGCAAAACTCCCTCACACAGGAGGCGGGGGAAGCAGGTGACTCACAGGCCTGGGCATCCCAAGAGAGTATCACACACCTACACCTTGAACTCAAGCACAGCAGCTGATCTGGCCCCTGATGTCATCTGTGGGGCCTGTCTAAAATGGGAGTCTGCCCTGCTTCTGATGAAGTCATTGGCAAAACTCCCATTGCCAATAGCAGAGTCAGGATCAGCCCTGTGCCGGGTAAGCGCCCAGGGCAGGGACCATACCCTCCGGTGCTGTAAAGAACCACATACACACACGGCATGTAGTGAAAGGAATATTACTGTGAATAACTGTGTGGATAGCTTAGTACAGCAACATCTGGCGTGAGCTTTCCTTCCCTGTCCGTCCTGCCCGTGTGCTGTGGCAATGGAACACAGGGGCCAAGGATGGAGGTGCTTCTAGCATTCAAGCCACTGTTGACTTCAGTGGGAGTTTGCTTCAGTGAAAACTGAGCAAGGACCTCAGGATCGTATGCTTAGGGACAGATGGTGCAACCACTATCCATGGTGACCAGGACTTACTCACAATAAGGGCGCATCCTCTAGCCCTAAGAGTATGATCCCTAGGAGAGGAACCTGGTCTCTTTTTTGGCAATGAAGCGCTTTGAACACATCTAGCTCTGTATTCCTTAAACTTAATGACAAATATAACGTAGTACACTTTCAACCGAGTGAGAATGCTGAGGGGACAGATTAAGCTGAGTGTGAGCGCTGGCTTTACCTGGACTGTAGACCCAGAGCGTGAAGATCGTGTCTCTGGCATTAATCCGTCTGTATGCTTTTCCGTCCGATGAAAACTCAACTTCGAATGTTTTCAGACATCTAGGAAAGAAACCAAACACCTCAACTGGCTGCTGGTGACCACGGGATGGCCACATCTCCCCATCCCTGTCTCGTCTGTGCAGGAGGGTGAGGAAGAGAAATGCTTGGCATTGCACACAACTGACCAGGAAAGTCCTGTGCTGCAGCAGACCCTCCCAACACAAGGAGCAGGGGTCATGACTCGAAAAGGCCACAAAAGAGCACCAGAGCCTTTGTCAAACTGGTGAGCCCTTTCAGCTTCCCCAGACACCAAGGGGAGAGACAAGGCTAAGCACCTCAGTGGAGATATTCAGCATCTCACAGGCGTACGCCCAATATGCAGGAAAGCCAGCACTTACTGAGGTGCACTAACCAACCCCAAAGGATGCACTGAGTTGGCTGTCCTGTGTCCCCAGTCTGCACATTAGTCTATATCGGTTGGTTTCTGGGGTAGCAAGTCTACAGACAGACAGCTACGTCTTCTGACCTGGACACAATCCTCCCCCTTTATCTCCGCATTCCTCATTACTCACATCTGGGCAACTTGGACAGGATTGGATAAAGCCGCATCTTTTAGTACAGGGGCTTTTGTGGTGCCTCCTATCGCCTCCAGGGGAGCAAGACACCTTGAATTGCCATCAAAAACAATGAGGAGTCCTTGTGGCACCTTAGAGACTAACAAATTTATTTGGGCGTAAGCTTTCGTGGGCTAAAACCCGCTTCACAGATGAATTGCCATTGTGTGTTAGTGAGGCTGCAAGCTCGGCTCATGCTGAACGGGCAGGGTAGCCAAGAACCTGCTCAAGATTTCCTCCCGAGGAGATCGCACGTGGGTTCGAACAGTTGTTCTGGTGATTAAAGCTACTGTGCTTTGGAAAAAATTGACAAAGTGCCAGGGATAATGCCTATCACTTCGCTGAGAGAGTAAACATTGCTTAGCTATTTAATACCTAGGCCTGATAAGATTACATCTATGTCCTGGTCTTACCTCTATCTCCGTCTTAAAAACACACTTACTTCGAATCCACGCAGTCATCGTCCCAAAGTACTGCAACCTGCCCCTTTGTCAGAGGGATCAAGTGAACGCCTGTCACCTGAGAGCAGAGAGAGGCCCACATTAATATAGAGGGAAGAGGTGCGTTGCTACGATAACACACTGATGGTGCAGCAGCATCGGATCATATTTAACCCCTTTAATACGTAGTCTTGGCTTAACTATTTTGAAGTAAATGGGTAGCTGAAACTTCGGTGCCTCAATATGGACTTCAAATGAAGTAGCCTGGTTTTCCCAAGTAGTGAGCACCAAGGAGCTCCCTTTGATTTCAGGGGGAACCTTGAAAAAAAAAATCATTCCACTTATTTTGATGCCTCAATCTGGACTTAAACTCAGTTTTAGATCCTTTTGCTCCAACTTCTTGGCCCCACAGTTCTGTAGCCCAATGCTCTCAACTCCCCATATGTCCCCTGGCAGTTAAGGCTACTGGGCACCTCACAGGACGTGCTTACCAGGCTAACAGGCATCACAGCTATGACTGCATCTTATGTGTGGTTATAAAACATTTGAACAGGCCCTTAGCTGAAATGTTATTTTTAACGCTTGGCTTTTAAGCCTTAAAGCATCCGACTCATCTTCAAGACTAGAAAATGCTGTACTTCCCATTATTTCCTTAATGATTTTTTCCAGGACTGGGTAGGTTTGACTTTTAGCTCAGTTGGTTGCCCACACCACCTGCTGTGGGGATGTTTATCCTGGAACGTGAGTCATGGAATCGCTTTGTCACAGGAAAATTTGGCTCCTGGCTTAAATAATTCTCCTATGCTACCTTTTAACAATGAGCAGACTCAGGCATTGCTGCCTTCATTAACTAAAGTCTGATAGCCCAATAGGGTATGTCTATACTGCAATCCCAGTGACTTGGGCTCTGGGGCTGTTTAATTGCAGTGTCGCTGTTCGGGCTTGGGCCGCAGCCCAAGGTCTGAGACCTTCCCCCCACGCAGGGTCCTAGAGCCCAGGCTCCAGCCTGAGCCCGAATGTCTACACTGCAGTTAAACAGCCCCTTTGCCTGAGCCCATAAGCCCAAGTCAGCTGGCACAGGCCAGACCCTGCAGTGTAGACATGCCCGTAGGATTCAAGCAGGCTGTACGGGAACAGTTACAAACTCAGTCCCCTGCCACTGAATCATGGTACCTACTTGATTGGGAACAGAGTGAGGTCTCGCACAGACATGGATGAGGAAGACCGATGGAAGTGGGAGTTCCTGTTTCAAGATCAGGCGGCCGTCCCCAGGAAATCGGAATGGTCCGGTCACCACCGGGTCCTGCAAAACCGAAGCCGAATGGAGGCGGTGCATAAAGAAATCAATATTCACCATTCTTTCTACACTCATTTTATAGCTGCTGATTCCACAGTGTAACGTTGCTGCACCTCTAAATTAGCACTGCCACTTTTAATGGCATTTAAAAAGTTTACAGCCTGCTAGATCATAACTTGCAGCATTTCTCAGTGAAACAGGAGACTAATATCTATTCCTCTCCTTTATCTAACTGTTCAGTGATTGTAGGGCCTGTTTGCCTGGCTAATTAGTTAGGACCCAGATGCCCAAAATGTGGGTTGTGACCTCAGGGAGCGGGGGGGTCAAAGAAGGTCATACAAGATGCCCAGGTTTGCAAATTTGGTAATGTTGAAAACAGGAAAAAAAGGATACTCAAGAGCCTTGTAATGTGTTCCATATGGCCAGCACATGGCTAGGACCTCCGTTCAGTGTAGATTAGCGCAGGATGTGAGTGGGCGCAGCAGACAGCTAAGAGTATTAGACCTCTTCCAGTGTGTGTGTGTGTGCCTGATACACGACAAGTCCCACAAAGAGCCCTTAGGCCAACATGAAGTGCAAGATGCCATGCACGAACCCCACTGCAGGACTGGAGCAGCGGAGCAGTTGGCCAACCCTGAGAGCACGGCTGAGCCTCGCATGGACTGGCCATTGTTTGGTCTTCGCTGGAGCTCAGTTCTGGTTGAGGGACGACTGGTGGAAAGGGCAGCATCAGGCTATTCCTATGCCAATGTGGAAATGGGATGGACACGTATGATGTATGGTTTATTAGTTTTGTGAGTGCCGTGTGCAGTTTGTTCCAAAGGGCTGCATCGGAGTCCGAAGCCTGCAGAGTCACTGTGATCTTTAGAAGCCAAACATCCATCGCTGAAAGGAGTCTGAGGTTTTAAGGAGGGAGCCTGAAAACCAAGGCCACTTGCATGCCAGTTTGAGTAATGACACAGAAACGCCCTTCTGATTAGCTATCTTTGCAAAGCTCGCCACAGTGCAAGGTGCACATGGTGTGCAAAAGAGGCACCTTCCCCCCGCAGTGGAAATGACTGAATTATAGGAACAGCTACTCGCTTGAAACCAGCGTCAGCCCCTTTCGTGACAGTGAGGGCGTTTACAAGCTGCCGACTGGGCAGGGGAGGAATAGGTTAAGTGTCTGGCCTGCAGACAGAGCCTGTAGTTAGCTCTGCCCCTCAACATCTGCCAGGTAATTCAAGCCTGGGGGTGTCCTCTGCAGCTGGAGGGAATAAGTGGGAGAAAGCAGGTTTCAGAGAGCTGGTAGAGCAAGGATCTCATGGATGCCTGAGTGATAAGTAAAGCAGTCTGGTGGGAGGAGGCGGGAGAGTGCTGGATACCCAAACCAGGGGAAGTTCCTATCTACTTCGGACTGAGAAGGGGGAGTTGCATTGCCCCACATCACCCTTAACTTAGCCCCTAGGCCTGAGAGTACAGAAGGAAGCCAGCAGGCTTTCCCTGAGGGGAAGGAAAGTGCGGGCTACAGACTGTTCATTCACACAGTCAGTGGGCAGATGGAACCACCTATCCTCAGTCCCCCAGCCCTCTGAATTTAAGGCACCAGCTCTTTAAATGCCCAGTGAATAAGGGCAACTCCAGACCCCCCTAAGGAAGAAGGGAAGGCTGGGAGAGACCTACAGATATGTTGATTTTTGTCTCTCTGGATCTAACCCCAGCTGTTGACATCCAGCACAAGATGCTGGTTTTGTTATGGAAGGGTTCTCTCTACCTCTCCGCGAGGGGCTTTTCTGTCTAGTTCCTACTGTGGCCGGTCAGCTCTCTTCCACTAGCTCCTTGGACATACAGAGTGCTTATTTGAGACTTTCCATGAAGCAGCTGCAGATCTCTGCTTTCCGTGCGAGTGGCGTATTGCAATCTGTGGGGACAGAGCCCAGCTGATGACAGTTAAAAGCAACCTGATCATATGGATCCTAAACATCCGACCTAGTGCCTCACACTTTCATACGCTGTGTGTCTGCAAACCTGCACCAGTCCTTCATCAAGCTCTGAACTAGTGACCTGCCCAGAAAGCTGTCCAGTGAATAGAGAGCTTTTGCATTGCCCTAGTTTCCCACCACCAGTAGCTCCTCTCACACTAGCGAGGTGGCTTTCATGAGGCAAAGTTCCCGTTCTCCTCTTGATTTTAAGGACAGAGGTGCAGGTTTTCCTGCGTGATCAGCATTCTCCCCTTGCTGACGCCTTCGCCAATTCATCCTGGGTTTAATTTACTGATGTACGTGGGCACTTCATTGAGCTTCACTCTTCTCTCCAGCCGGGAATATCGATGTTCTGTCCAGGCGTAACAAGGCAGACGCACTCATTGTAGAAAACACCCGGAAGCTGATAATCAAGTGGAATCGTTTCCTCTTGTTTCAGACTCTATTGAAGAAACTGAGCAGCTGATAATTCAGCATTTGGAGGGAATTTCAGACCCAGCTGTACTTCCCTGATGTCCCACACACAAAGAGGAGGCTCACCAAACACTTTGTCTCCCTTTTAAGCTGTTGCAGCACTTGGCAGCAAGATTCATGCCAGGCCCTCAGCCAGCTTTGGATAGCGCTGAAGGAGGAGGCTGACTAAGGTGTAAGTTCTCATCCCACTTTTCTCCTTGTAGTTCAGCCAGTCAAGTTTCTAAGATGGTGGCGATAAGTGTAGAATTGTGTAGACTGTCAATCACAGTTCCTTAAGTCTGTTTAGCAAATCCAGTCGGCACTGTCTTCCAGCAGCCAGACAGGTTTCTCCATTGTGCCGAGTACAATGTTTCTCTTTCATTAATTTTGTATAATTAGTTAGAGCATGGTAGTTACACGCCTTTGGCCTGGTCATAGTTAGGGATCAGAAGTCTTGAGGGAGGGTTTGCAGATATTCTTTAATCTGTAAGTTATCAGCTCCAGAAACTTGAGAAACTCTGTAATAGGGCATTAAAAAACCACAAAGGTGAAATCCAGCCCGTATTAAAGCCAATGAGAGTTTTGCCACTGGCTCCAATGGTGCCAGGATTTCTCCCAAAATGTCACGTTCACTTTCTGGTTTGGATTTATCTTCAGAGGAATGAGAGAGGAGATTACTTGCTTTAAACATCTGTTACTGCTTGATCAAGGCAGGGCAGTCGCTTCTTAAACGGCCGGACAATCGGTAAGGCAGGTTGGTGATCTGCATTCAGTCCTATTGGCTGAATGTTTAGTAAAAGCGGCTACAATGCCAAATGTGTTGGAATTGCCCATCTCTGGTGGTTGGAGGGCTGCACATGCTAACTGACTTACAGCCACCTGTCTGAGACTTGTCCTACATTTTATTTTTTCCCTGGTCAGTACTACTATGGACTTAGATTTAAAATATAATGTAAAATGCAAAGAGCAGACACAAACAAGAGGGTTCCCACTGATCTCTGCAGTCCCTGAGCAGTCTTAAAGCTTTCGAGCAAGCGGTAATGCAGCTGCCTGTCTAGGCTTATCATGGTAATCAAGGAGGAAAGAGGTGATAACCACATGACTCAGTCAATGCTAAACTTAGTATCTAAATAATCCTCCAGAAACAGCAGTTCTCAAACTTTAGCAACCCGAGGACCCACATTTTGATTAAAAAATTTTCAGGGACCCCTAAGCCCCCATGATCAGCCCCAGGCCCCACCCCCACTCCACCCATTCCCCCAAGTCCCCACCCCTACCCCTCCTCTTCCCGTCCCCCACTCACTCCATCCCCCCTCCCTCCGTCGCTCGCTCTCCCCCACCCTCACTCACTTTCACTGGGCTGGGGCAGGGGGTTGGGGTGTAGGAGGGGGTGCGGGCTCTGGGAGGG